ACGGCCTCCCTATTCCGATCCTAATAATTATAGGCCTATCTCCATTACTTCTGTATTCTGTAGACTCTTTGAGAAGCTCGTTAAAAAAGCTTTGGTAAGTCATTTGGAAAGCAATCACATTTTTTCGCCCCATCAACATGGATTTAGAGAGAGAAGGTCCACGGTCACTGCAATGTTAGAGTCTCTCAATGACTGGTCCTCAGAACTGGATAGTAAGAACAGTCTGGATGTTATATACTTTGATTTTGAAAAAGCGTTCGACAGAGTGGTCCATACCGCGCTGTTATACAAGCTTGCTCAAGTGGGTGTCCACGCTAGGATTATTAAATGGATCGAGGCTTTTCTCAAACAGCGTACTTTTCAAGTAGTGGTCAATGGAACTTTTTCCAAAGTCAGAAGCGCACCCAGCGGAGTACCCCAAGGGAGCGTTTTGTCTCCTATTTTGTTCAATATTTTTGCCTTCGATCTGCCTTACTTGATAGAGTGTTTCGACGTCAAAGTGAAAATGTTCGCTGACGATTTGAAGATATATAGAGGCGTTGGTAATAGTGCTAATCAGCTTCAGCTAGCGATAGATGCCATTTCTCAATGGTCTGAAGGCAATCTTCTTCCTTTGTCTGCGCATAAAACTAAAGTTCTCCATCTTGGTCGGAATAACCCCAAAATACAATACTATATTAAGGACTCTGTTCTCGACGCAGTTGATATGGTTAGAGATCTTGGCTTTGTTATCGATTCTAATTTGCGTTTCGAGCACCACCTGAAAGATATTATAGCAAAAGCCGACCAGAGAGTATTTTTGCTGTTCAAGACGTTTAAATCTAGTGACCCGACACTACTTCTCAAAGCATATAAAATTTATGTGCGTTCAGTTCTCGAGTATGGCACCTGTATTTATTACCCACACACCAAAAAGTTCTTGAGCAAATTGGAAAAAGTGCAGAATGGCTTTTCTAGGAAACTATTCATCAGAACCTTAGGTTTTAATTATTCCAGCATACCTCGTGGCCTCATTAGGAACAAGTTACTCAATTTGGATCCATTATCCTTAAGGCTGAGGAGGAACGATATTCTTATGGTATATAATATTCTTCATAAACGTGTTGATCTCGGTAGTGACGCCTTCTATAAACTAATGCCATCTACTACGAGAGGGGAAAAGCTCAAGCTTTCTTTCCGAAAACCACGTTCAACAGTAGGGCGCAGGTTCTTCACGGTTCGCGCGGGCACAGAGTTCTTGAAAATGAGCAAGACTGTGCAAATTTCTTCTAAATTTGCTAGCTTTAGGAGAGCGGTATTTCATTATCTCCATCGCGCCAATAAATAGGGCATAGTTTCCGTTATGTAGATCGTCATGTTCTGTCTAACGTTCATTGTTATTTGTGTTTTGGTTTGTTGTTAACTGCTGTTTTATTTCTACATGCTGCACATGTGTTTGGCATGTAATAAATGGTAAAATATAATCTAGATAAATTGTATTGTCTTCTACTGGATTATATGAACTACTTATTACGGCCAAGAAAGCTTGCTGTTTCTCTCTTACGACATTTAGCGCTACGTGGATGTTCGACAAGTGTGCCTTGAGCGCTTCTTGCCGACGGTCAAGAAGCTGGCACTCGTCGGCAGGCGGTAGCAATTCAGTAGTACGCGGATTGATCAGATCCTGCGGTATCTTACCTTTAATTGCCTCTAATGCCGTATTGGCCTTCGTTAGCTTGGATTTGCACTATTTGTTGACATGATTGTTCGCAACGACAGGAGGTAGTTACTGTTAAACCCAAATCTAAAAGGGAGAAGGTAAATGAACGCAATGCCGCAAGGATGACTCTGGCCAGGAGTCTCCTGCGGCTAGCAGTACATCAGCAAACAAGATGGCCCCGCAACGATGGAACCGCGATGAGTAAGCAATGGAAAGAACCGGCGATGGAATCTGCGGGCAGAGTCTTAGCCCCTGATGTGCGACCTCGGTCGCCCAGAGTTTCACCCAGGCGGCTTCGCGGAACGACAGGCTAATCTTCCATGAGAATTAACAGGTGCCTGCGGTCTGGAAGTGCAGTCTGGAGGCAAAGCGAGGTTTTGGGCGGGCCCCACCGGGCGGATTTACCGCAAGGACCGTCACTAACTGGGATGCATGAGAGCGGCACCTCGTCGTGCAATCTCGTCCCCCCCCCCCGAGCACTCCTCCGTGCAGCTTGTTCCAGCGTCACAGTGCCCTGCGCATACCTACAAGCGATAACCTCCAGCAGGGTAATGACTCCCGCTCCCTAGTCCTGCAGGTGAGTCCAGTGCTTCACATGGCTGCCGGTGCCCTCCGGAGACCATGATCCACACTGGACCACTAGGTTGGTAAGGTACACCCCTTCGAAATTCTTCGCAGCGTTCCCTGCCGATCCTCGGACTAACTGGCCGTGCCGTTGGCGCGTCTGCGTGATTGCTGTCTTC